GCAGACAGACACACTGTACGTCCGTTCATCCCACTAACCACAGCAAGCACCACCAATCACTCCACCTACCGTCTATCAGCGTTGCGTGATCTTTTTCCACACAGAGCAAGCAAGGAACGGCTGGCTGGCCGGTCGGTCGGCTGGCTGGCCGGTCGGTCGATAAGTGCCTTCAAGCAGGCCAGGCAGGCCACACACAAGGGATACACGGATACATACATGAGTGGATGGATGGATGGATGATGGTAGGACAGGTACGCAACACAGGTCAGTGAGTCACTCGGTCGAAGTGATTTTTTGGGTTCGTCCGTCCGAACACACACAGAGAGGTGGGTCCGTACCCACTCACCCACCCATCCACCCACCACACGTACGCTCACGACACACTCACCCACACACCCACCCCTTCCTCCTGGCTGGCTGTCTTGCCCGTGTGTGTGTTGTGTATGTGTTTTGTCGTGTCTTTTTGATGTGTCTGTCGATGCGTGAGTACGCGGGCGCGACTGTGTTCCTCATCGCTCGACCGTCTTGGCTGGTTTTCTAGTCTCCCGTCTTTCGTTTTTGTGTTGGTTCCGACCTGCCGATCGATCGTGAGTAATAACTGGGTCCGCGCTGCGCTCATGCACCCACTGGCTCTGCGTGTGTGCGTGCGTGATAGATGGATGTGCCAGTCACTGCATGCATGTGTGCACACGGCCGGTGCCCCTGGCTGCCTCTCTGTCTCGCTACTCACTCGGCTCGTCCCGTCAATCAACCAAGCTTACGCACTGACCCGTCCAGAGATAAGACATTCTCATGCCTGACTGACTGGCTGCCTGTGTGTCGTGTCGTGTTGTACGGTTGCTTGCTGCCTGCCTGCCTTCTTGGTTGTGTTAACTGTCCCTCCGTCTGCGTGCGTGTGCTGTGTGTGTGGGCGTGTGGCTGGCAAGTGAATGAGTGCTGTTTTTAAACGCGTCTTGCGGGCGTCTTCTCTCCAAGCGATCATATCATGACGCTGCCATACGTGCGTGCTACATGCATGCATTCATGCATGAATGATCAGGTGTCTGTCTGTCGGTCCGTCTGCTGGTGCGTGCGTGTCCGTGCTTGGTCGATTGGAAGACAAAGGAATTGAAGTGTGATGCATGCCCGTCCCCCTGACTGCCTGCATTCCTGCGTGCGTCGACGAGTAACTGCGAAGCATCGAATATGGATGGATGGATGGGACCTACCAGTAGACATGCAGACAGACGTGCAGTAGCAGCTAGGAGTGTGTGTGGGCGAGGTGAGTAGTATGCTTGCTTGGCTGGTCTGGTCAGTGAGTTGTGCGCATGGGTGGATGGGTGGTATGGAAGCAACACGCACGCGTAAGACGATTCGACATGAACTCTCTTAATGGTCGTGGTCATGATGGTGTGGTGGATGTCGTCCATTCAGGAATGGATGCATGCATGCATGTGTCTTGCCTGTCTGTTTGCGAGGGACCGCTGGATGCCACTTAAAGCAAAGAAGGATACGCTCCCACGTACATCCGCACACAATTACGAGCGAAAGACGCCGTCGCTTTTTCAAAAAGATAATCCGCTCCTCCAACACCCCTCCCTCTATCGACACTCTCGTAGATGAACACAAAGCAAACGCATGCGCGTACTTGAGACAAAATCTTGTTTAAAAACTACTTGCCGATCGATCGCGACGAACACAGCCCTGTGTATTGTACATGAACGCTTGAACAAACACATGCATAGCTAGCTCCCGAGTCCACCTCCCGCCCCTACCCATCTATCAAGCTAAGCCCCCACTCGCGCTCCCTCCTGCCCCTTCTTGTCGCCGCCAACCGCTGCCGCTGCCGCTGCTGCCTCCTCTAGCTGTGCGATGGATGGCGGGTTTGGTATCTTGGCCAGGTCGTCCAGGAACAAACGGCCGCTGACGAGGTCCCAAGGCGTGTAGCCGAGAAGGTGCGTGGCAGCAACCATGCCCGAATACACGGCAGCTGAGTGAGGGATGCCAGCCACCCACCCACCCACCCACCCACACCACACACACGTGAAGCAAGCCAAGTGTGTTGCCCTGAATGTGCGTGTGTGTTTACATACATACATACCCATCCAGCCTTCTGTGATGAGGTCCTGTCCGCTGAGGTAGAGCCTCCTTATGCCCGTCCCCACACGCGGCACCGGATTCGCTATGCGCTCGGGCGTGTGGCGGAGCCCGTAGGTGGAGAAACGCTGAAGGTAGTGGTGCATCGACAATGGCGTAGACACTTCAATGCTCACGATCTTGTCTGCAGGCAGCGCAGCCAGGAAGACAGGCATTCAGGAACACAGACAGCTATCTAGTGAGGCATCCATGGACGACGTTGTTAGTATCCGGGGTCACCTTGTAAGTGAGGGAAGTGCTCGGTCAAACACCTCCTGAACTTGTCCACTAGCAGCTTCTTCACGTCCTTGTACGCTGCCGTGCGACGGGTCGTGCGCGCGCCTCCAAGAGCTGCACACACACACACACACACACACACACAAAATGAGATGCATGCATTCATCCATGCAACCATACGAACATGCATCACACGAGCGAGCGGATGTCGTCCTTCTACCTACCTTCATTTAGCTGTTCGAACATGCCTGATGTGGTCTCCATGAGCATTTCGCATGTGGACGTGCCAGGGTGACGAGCGTCGTACTCAGGGTCCTTCGCGGAAGGAAATGCTGATTGGTAGATGGATGCATGTATGCGCACACCAAGTCAGATAGGACAAGACACGTGCGTGTGTGCGTGCGTCCATCCATGCAGCCACCCAGCCAGCCAGCTCACAGATGAAGTACGCTGCATCGTGTGCGTCGACGTCCAGCAGCGCCTCGGCGTACTTGACAGCCACGGCATCAAGACCACGACCCTATATAGGTGTGTATGTGCGTATGTATGAAGGCACAAAGCAGACAGACAGACAGACAGACACCAACCCACAACAGTTGCACCCATAGACTGCCCTAGCCAGCCTCTGTCTGTTTGTCTGCCTTTTTCATTCTACTCTTCACCTCTGTTGGCATTTCGGGCCAGTAGTGCAGGTTGCTGGTGGGCAGCCTCAGCTCATCTGAGCTGCCCTGCAGCGTGACGAACGCGCACACATTGCTGACCCCCTCACCCACATCCTTCAGCAGCCTGGCCTCTGCCGACATGTATCGATCGACATCCTCACTCGACAACAGATGACCCTGTGTGAACCATACACCGCACCCACACACCCACACGCGCGCACGCACACATGTCAAAGGGAGCGAGAGGCTTGGGAAGTGCATACATGCACATGTTGTTGCATGCGTAGCCTGCCTGCACGTGTTGTGATCCTGCCTGCCTCCCTACCAATGTGGCAGATAGGCCGACCGACGAGACGACGCCCCGTCTGCTCCTCAACGTGTCACCGTTGGACAGCACCACACCCTCAGCCACACCTACACACACACAGGGAAAAAGACTCCACCCATACATACATACATGTACAACCAACCAAGCACCCTGCTGTCTTGGGAGGTCATATGGATGCATGCATGTCTGTCTGTCCGTACGTGTGTATGTATGTATGTATGTATGTACGTGTGTACCTTTGTTGACCAGGATCTTCTCGACTTTGGCTCTCACAAACACGCGTGAGCCCGCCTTGTGGATGGTGGAGATGAGCGTGCGCACAATGCTAAGCGGCCCGCCGACAGGGAAGCATGCGCCATGCATGTAGTGATGCTGGATCACTGCCTGCAGGAGGAAGCAGGCCGTTGATGGGACCTCCCCCCAGTCCACGCACTGGCCTGACAGGATCCCCTCGGCCTTCATATCGCCATTAAGCTCCTGGACCACCTGCACATACATGCACATCCACGCACCGCACCCACGCCCGCACGTCGTCCCATATGAAAATACCCATGAGTATGTAGATTCATGCATACGGGGGGGGGCTGTTTGCGCGATGAAGGACGCACCTGTCGTGTTGTCTTCCGTGCCCACTTGAGTGCCCCGCTGCCCAGCAAGCGCAGCCAAAACCACTGCATGCAACACATCACACACAATGACATGTAAGCACAACTCACACGACGACCGCACTCTTCTGTTGTTGTTGGTTGGTTTGTGCGTAGGTAGGTAGGTAGGTAGGTAGGTAGGAACAGCAGGACGGACCTGAACGAGAGGCGAAAACGCCCTGGACATGGCCAGCATACGCCAGGTCTTGGTGGCCTGCTTGACCGTCTTGACCCAGTCAGACACCAACTGAGCAGGCAAGTGGCGACTCATCTCACTCATAAACGCCTCCTTGCCAGCACGCAGCCTACATGGTATATATGGTCATACACACATAACAAACGCCCACCCACATATGTATGCACATGCAAGCGCACACACACACACATACACACATAAACATACACATACACATCCGCACAATTGCCCATCTGTCTGACTGGTTCGCTCGTATGTTTGTTTACCTGATTTCCGTGTCGTTGCCAAACTTGATAACGTCGTAGAGGCCCCTGCCGGTCCCATCCCTTGCCCTGGTGTCCTCATTCTCCCGACCAACCTCCTGGAACTGCACGGGGTAGTCAGCGGGGTCGCCCGCCACCTCCATCAGATTCGCGGCGACCTTCAAGTCTCCAATGTAGTGGATACCCGTGTCGAAACATGCACCTGAACACACGCGCGCACAGCAATTGACGCAACTAGAATACAAACAGGCATCGTCGGCTCATTGAGGCTATGCGTGCATGTATGAATACACACGTGTGTGTTTGTGTTTGCTAGGTACCTACCTTTCTCCGTGAACGTGTGACAGCATCCGCCGGCAATGTAATGCTGCTCCAACACCACCACTGTATACCCGCATTTGCTTAAGGCAGCCGCGAGCCAAAGCCCGCCCATCCCGGAGCCAATAACGATGTAATCGGTGGGCTCCTTGGGCAAACGAGCGGCCTTGTACGCATATCGCGTCATGTCCTCCGCGTAGGGCGGCAGCTGCCATCGCACTGTGCGGTGGCGTTTAGGCGCTCGGAGGGACAGGTAAGCTCTGATGAGGGCAGCAGATGCTGCAATGGCTCCACAGCAGCCGATGAAACGATAGTCCGTAGCCCAGGAGGGCAGATCCATCCTCACGCCAAATGCCATGGCGACGGCCACGTCGTGTGCACTATTGTGATCAGGTCGAAGGGTCTTTCCGCGGTGTCATTCATTCGTTCGTCGTTGGGACCGATGGGACAGAAGTCTTCCAGTGGGACTGCAACGCCGAAGCTCGCAGGAGAACGGTTGGACGGTCACTATCCCCAAACTCGCAAGATTCGTGCGCTTTTTTTATTGGCTTACGCAGGAAGCACCGGCCATAGTGACAGCACAGACGATGGAGGGCCCTCTGAAGGTCAGAACACACACGACATCCGTCTGTGTGAAGCAGGGAATCTTTGTTGTGTTCGTTCGTGCGTGTGTCGTGCTGCACGCATCGCATGATGCAGTGCACGGCGTGTCAGACGACGTTCGACAATGGGGAGGACCAGCGGAGCCACTACAAGACAGACTGGCAGAGATACAACCTCAAGCGCAAAGTGGCGAATAAGTAGGTGGGTGAGGATACATAATGCACACGCCAGCCACACCCGTATGTGTGTGCGTCTATGTGTGACCCTACGTTCGCACATGAGTATGTCAGGCATCGGTCCCATCTCTCTGCAGATGTTCGAGCGCAAGCTGGAGCTGCTTGCATCGGAACGGTCAGTCATTCAGCCATTGCATGACCCCCAGCCAGCCGCCAGGAAAGGCTTTACGTACTCTCACTCACTCACAAGGCAGCGCGCCCCTGTCGCTTCCTCCCTGTGTGTGGATGGGTCCATACGTACATACACACATCTACACATACAGGCCGCAGTGAAGGGCGATGGTCATCTGAAGAAGACCGACAGGAGGAAGGGAGGCAGGGAGAAAGACGACAAGAGTGCGGCATCGTCCAGTACCGCCGAGGCACTGTCAGCTGTCAGCCAGACACGGCCGCACAGCGTCGAGTACAAGGTGACGCAGTGCCTGTTCGATGGCACGGACCACGACACCATAGACAAGTCAGTCAATCAGGGAGAGGGAGGGAGGGAGGGAGGAGGTCTGGAGGAGAAACATGTGCGTACGAGAGCGAGACGTGTGTATGCGTCGGTCGCTGCGTGTTGGTGTGCGCGCGTTCGTGTATATGTATAGGATGTTGACACATTTGGGCCAGCTGTATTCGTTCTTCATTCCTGACGCAGAGTATACATGCACGTTTGCATTTGGAGTGTATTGGTATGCACGCCTCGACTTGGACTTCGACTTGGAGTGTGTGTATGTGATGAATATCTTTGTGCGCACACCTTCGCATGCACGCGTCGACTTGCTCCAAGTCCAAGTGTTCATGCGCAGGTGTGCGCACAGAGGTATTCATCATATCCGCACGCCCCAAGTCCAAAAGTGCATGCACAGGTGTATGAAGGTGGCACACACTCCAAGTTCACGCAGACCTGCGCACACTACAAGTCCACGCGCACCTGCGCATAAAGACATTCATCATATATACACACTCCAAGTTCACGCATACCTGCGCATACTCCAAGTCCACGCGCACTTGCGCACAGAGACATTCATCATATACAGCAGATGCACAGGTGTGCGCATAAAGACATTCGCGCTAGAGACATTCATCATATACACACACACTCCGAGCCCACGCGTGTATGCACAGGTGCGCGCACAGAGACATTCATCATATACACACACTCCAAGGACAAAGGTGCATGCCAGGTGTGCACACAGAGACATTCACTATGTAGACACACCCCAAGTCGACGCGAGCATGCGCAGGTGTGCGCAAAGAGATATTCATCATATCCGCACATCCTAAGCCCAAAGGCGCATGCGCATGTGTGCGCACAGAAATATTCATCATATCTGTACTTTCCAAGCCCAAACAACCACAGCGGACACACTCCAAGTCAAAGTGTCCATGCGCAGGCGTGCGCACAGAGACATTCATCATATACACACACTCCAAGTCCACGCGTGCATGCGCAGGTGTGCGCACAGAGATATTCATCATATACACACACTCCAAGACGACGCGTGCATGCGTAAGTGTGCGCACAGAGACATTCGTCATATACACGCACTCCAAGTCCAAACGTGCATGCGCAGGTGTACACACAGAGACATTCATCGCATACAAACACTCAAAGCCCACACGTGCATGCGGAGCCGTGCATGCGGAGCCGTTCGCGCAGAAACATTTTCTATATACACACACTCCAATTCGACGCGTGCATGCGCAGGTATGCCGACAGAGACATTCATCATATACACACTCTCCAAGTCCAAACCAAGTCCAAACGTGCATACGCAGGTATGCGCGCAGAGACATTTTTCCTATACACACACCGCAGGTCGACGCGTGAATGCGTAGGTGTGCGCACAGAGACACTCATCATATACACACACTCCAAGTCCAAACCAAGTCCAAACCAAGTCCAAACGTGCATACGCAGGTGTGCGCGCAGAGACATTTTTCCTATACACACACTCCAGGTCGACGCGTGCATGCGTAGGTGTGCGCACAGCCAGGTCGACGCGTGCATGCATAGGTGTGCGCATAGAGGGACTCATCGTAGACACACACTCCAAGTCTATACACACACTCCAAGTCGTTGCATATGATGAGACTTTCTGTGCGCTCACCTGCACCTACACGGAAGCGTCGAGTTGAAGGGAGTGTGTCTGTCCGCACACCTGCACATCTGATAAATATCTGTGTGCGCACACCTGCGGATTTGAGGTGTGCGCATGCACGTGTCGGCTTGGAGTGTGTGTATCTGAGGAATGTCTGTGTGCGCACACCTGCGCATGCAGGTTTGGACTTGGAGTGGCTGTATTTGATGCATGTCTCTGTGCGCATACCTGCGCATGCACGTATATGATGAATGTCGCATGCACATTTGGACTTGGGGTGTGTGTATCTGATGAATGTCTGTGTGCGCACACCTGCGCATGCACGTGTCGACTTAGAGTGGGTGTATCTGATGAATATCTATCTGTATGCGCACACCTGCGCATGCAGGTTTGGACTTGGAGTGTCTGTAGCTGATGAGTGTCGCTGTGCGCACACTGCGCATGCACGTTTGGACTTGGGGTGTGTGTATCTGATGAATGTCTGTGTGCGCACACCTGCGCATGCAGGTTTGGACGCAGGTTTGGACTAAGGGTGTGTGTACCTGAGGAATGTCTGTGTGCGCACTCTGTGCGCACACCTGCGCATGCACGTTTGGAATTGGAGTGTGTGTATATGATGAATGTCTGTGTGCGCACACCTGCGCATGCAGCTTTGGACTTGGGGTGTGTGTATATGATGAATGTCCTTATGCGCACACCTGCGCATGCACGTTTGGACTTGGAGTGGGTGCGCATGCACGTGTCGACTTAGAGTGTGTGTATCTGATGAATGTCGCTGCGTGCACACCTGCGCATGCACGTATATGATGAATGTCGCATGCACGTTTGAACTTGGGGTGTGTGTATATGATGAATGTCTGGGTGCGCACACCTGCGCTGCAGGTTTGGACTTGAGGTGTATGTATCTGATGAACATCTGTGTGCGCACACCTGCGCATGCACGTGTCGACTTGGAGTGGGTGTATCTCATGGATGTTTGAGTGCGCACACCTGCGCATGCACGTTTGGGCTTGGGGTGTGTGTATATGATGAATGTCGCTGTGCGCACACCTGCGCATGCACGTATATGATGAATGTCGCATGCACGTTTGGACTTGGGGTGTGCGTATCTGATGAATGTCTCTGTGCGCACACCTGCGCATGCACGTGTCGATGTCGAGTGGGCGTATATGATGAATGTCTGTGTGCGCACACCTGCGCATGCACGCGTCAACTTGGAGTGTCTGTAGCTGATGAATGTCGCTGTGCGCACACTGCGCGTGCACGTTTGCACTTGGGGTGTGCGTATCTGATAAATGTCTGTGTGCGCACACCTCCGCATGCAGATTTGGACTTGGGGTGTCTGTAGCGAGAGATAACTTGCATTGACCGTAACACTTGTCTGTGTGTCCGTATGACTCATGAATTTTGGTCCCATAAACACACTCAGCCAGAAGAGGAGAGATCGATCCCCGCCCCATCATCACTTTGTGCACGTACCGCGCTTGCAGTTGACACAGTCAGTGCAGAGGCGCTTCTTGTCTCGGCATGGAGTGTCTGTAGCTGATGAATGTCGCTGTGCGAACACTGCGCGTGCACGTTTGGACTTGGGGTGTGAATATCTGATGAATGTCTCTGTGCGCACACCTGCGCATGCACGTGTCGACTTAGAGTGGGTGTATCTGATGAATATCTGTATGCGCCCACCTGCGCGTGCACGTTTGGACTTGGAGTGTCTGTAGCTGATGAGTGTCGCTGTGCGCACACCTGCGCATGCACGTTTGGACTTGGAGTGGGTGTATCTGATGCATGTCTCTGTGCGCACCTGCGCATGCACGTTTGGACTTGGAGTGTGTGTATCTGAGGAATGTCTGTGTACGCACACCTGCGCATGCACGTGTCGACTTGAAGTAAGTGTATAATGCATATCTCTGTGCGCACACCTGCGCATGCACGTTTGGAATTGGAGTGTGTGTATATGATGAATGTCTGTGTGCGCACACCTGCGCATGCACGTGTCGACTTGAAGTGGGTGTATAATGCATATCTCTGTGCGCGAACCTGCGCATGCACGTTTGGACTTGGGATGTATGTGGCTGATGAACATCTGTGTGCGCACACCTGCGCATGCCCGTGTCGCCGTAGAGTGGGTGTACCTGATGAATGTCTCTGGCAGGTTTGGACTTGGGTGTGTGTGGCTGATGAATGTCGCTGTGCGCATACCTGCGCATGCACGTTTGGACTTGGAGTGGGTGTATCTGATGCATGTCTCTGTGCGCACCTGCTCATGCACGTATATGATGAATGTCGCATGCACGTTTAGACTTGGGGTGTGTGTATCTGATGCATGTCTCTGTGCGCACACCTGGGGACTTGGGGTGTATGTATCTGATGGATATCTGTGTGCGCACACCTGCGCATGCACGTGTCGACTTAGAGTGGGTGTATATGATGAATGTCTGTGTGCGCACACCTGCGCATGCACGTATATGATGAATGTCGCATGCACGTTTGGAC